GAGGATAGAGCATCAAAAAACGAGTTCTCGAGTGCGTGGATCGTATCCTGAATACCGGATACATTGTCATCGCACGAAGGCAATGGCGAAGTGGATGAGGACCAGGTCGAATCTGAAGAACCGGTTGATGAGCCACAGGCTGACCGAGACGAAGAGGTAGAAGGATTGGGGCCGTCGGTAGAGTATGTGTAGCACGAGCGATTCGAGGTTGGAGAGTAGAAGTCAAGCATGTTGGCACTATGTCAGGAGCCGATGTAGATTTTCCGAAACTTCTCTCGACGCAGGATGACCAGGTAACAGATGTGCTATGGCTGAAGCAGAATTTGAAAGACAGTAATGGCGGAGGGTGCTTGAATGGATGCGTTCGGCGTTGAGGGTGGGCCGGGCGCGTATTGTTTCATCCTATATAAGTGGATGCGTTGTAAAAAGGAAGCAACACAATTCCTAGGATACAAAGGATATCTCTTCGTTCGCCGGGTGAGGTTGTAGCAAAACTGCATATGCACAGTGCTTGCTGACTTCTTTCCCTTTCCCACTGAAAGGAATTCATGGCCCTGAGTGGTGATATCGCTCGGGCTACTTGCATGTATGCATACACTGAGTCTTTGGCTTCCTAAACAACAACGACTACGCTGAAAAGGAAAGGATGCAAGGAGGGCATGAATTAAGCTTACATATACATCGCCACAAAAGTGTTCCTTTGAAAATTGGCATCACACATATATCGGTGCTTCTCAGGCTTCTCGCTTGCTATTGGGGCGAGTCCATCTCTCGCCAAGCCTCTCATTGTCTTTTCTTGTGTGATACATAACTCTCTGCCTCTGTCTGCCTTGGCTGCTTCAAGTCCAGTGTTTCTTTAGCTCAACCTTCGGGGTCGCTTGCTGATATGGACACACTTCACCTTTCAAAGCGAGTAGGGAACGGTACTTTCAGACACTCCTTTTACGTGATCTCTCCTCAAATCTCAAGCGACCCCGTAGCGATTGCAGAAATGCTCAGCCCGTTGCAGGCTGCATTCATCAGGATCTTCTGATTCCTTGTTGTACATACTGACATATCAGATTGCCCTTCCAATTGTCCCTTTCTTGAATTTTAAATACATGATTGTGATAGCCAGACATTATCTTTGGAAGATATTCCTTGCACTGTTTTTTTGGAATGAAAAACCAAGTTCCGGCTATAGAATCCTCCTTCAGATGGATTGGATCTGATGGAGATGATTTGACAATATATATGGATTTTACTTCATTCCCAAGTAGTAGTGACAGTCTCCT